TGACGCTTTCTTGAGGATTCCTCATTTCAGATGTGCATGAAAATGATTTGCCCGGCAATGAATGGAACCTACAAATCAGAGACCCCGCAAAGCGGGAACTCGCGGTCGAAGACCTGGAGACCAGCGAAGGGTCGCCATGATGCCCCGCCGACCGGGCCGGTCTGCGCCTCACCAAGGTGCAGTGCATGCACGCCTCTCGATACACTGGGCTGCTTGCTTTCCCTCCAAAAGACCTGGCGGCTTAACAGAATGCCGCCCTGACCAGAAAAGGTATTCTCCCAATTCTGGTGGAAACATGGAATCACTACATGATCATGTATCCGGATGTCGCTGTTGATCCTTACAGCAAGGACAGCTGACGCTCAGATGTGTTGGGTGGGGTACATTGCCATGTTGTTTGGCTTCTGAACGTTTGGCGATTTGGGTTTTAAACGGCGACCCAGAGTCACTGTGGGTGTTCTACGGACTAGGCTTTGGTATTTGTTTCGCGTGTTGTTGACGGCTTGTTTGGAACAGGGGGAGACAATTCCAGTGGTGTAGAAGTGGTTACCTACGCACAGGCCCCACCCCCAAGGGTTCAAGGGATTAAGAAACACAGATCAAGCTAACCAAGGCTTTGATGGTGGGGGTGCTCTTTGCAGGTGGGTTAGTAGGCTGCTGCGGTGTCGCAATAGTCCCTCAAGTGCTTCTTTGTGAGGTGTTGCCACATACCCTCGGCCAACAATGATTGAGTTTCCTTCCGGCGATAGTCAAAAGTTGAAGGAGGTGTTCCATGTTAGCCTTGTTCCTCAAGCTGTTGGAAGGGAACTAAGGAGCTGATCCAAATTTAGTTTTAAAAAGGGAGCTACGGGACGCAGTAGTCTACTGATAGTTGAAGGCGGGGGGATCCGCGTTTCCCTTGTTCCAACAATGGAGGCGGACAGGGGCCATCCAAGAAAACCTTCGTCCCGCACCGTTCTGCCGGTGTCCGAGGTTCCAAGCTTCGGAGTCTGAGAGTGCCCCCCCGCCACCCCCACCTCCAGCGTAGTCGTTTGCCTACAATCGGCCAAGGACAAAACACACAGATTTTTCCTTGACGACGCCTTTTTGCGCCAATTGAAAGTGAGCTTGCTTTTGGTGGAGTGATGTTTAAAGGCACATGTAGGAACCTGGAAACACCCTGGGCAGAGTGGGATGCATTTGCACCGATAGTGGCAACCTGGCGGTCAAACGAGCTCACCCATGAAGGTTCGCTACTTGTGGGTTCCTTAATTTTGGTTAGTGAACTATGATAATTAAACCTTCTGATACACGTCACATCGACACTTTCTTTTTCGCAGTGGTGCCTAGACTACAGATGTCCTTTGTTGGAGGTTTCATCACCAGTGTGGTCCATTCAATATGAGTTTCCCTTGGGCTTGAGGGGGGCGCAATTGTAGGGAAGCCTGTCCACAGCCATGGAACAAAGTGCTAGACACCTTGGCTCAAACGGACTGAACAAGGAGCCCGGATTTGTGGCAAACTGATGTAGTTCCACAGGTCGCCTGTCAATGGCGCAAAGCAATTGTAGATGCATGGCAGTTTCACCTTGTGGGCAGAGCATGACTTTTCAGCGCTTTCGTGAACCAACCCATTTGCACAGCGGTATCCTTTTTTGGATGTTTGGCGGGGTTGCCTGTTGATTTGAACTCAACAAGCAAACACGGGCGATCATTTGTGCAGTGGCCAGATGCTAGGACAAGTTGTCATTGAGCAAGTCATGCTCTGGCTGCATGTTGCAGCATGTTGCCGTGTCAAGAATCTGGCAGGCAAAACAAATTCTTGAATGCAAATGTCAAGTAGGCGAAAAAGGCCGTGCATATCTGACTTGCCTATCGAATAACGGTATTTAGGCACTGCGGGAGGGTACCATACACCAAAAGCACGAGCTCATAGAGTCACACATATGAACGGACGACTTCATCCATCAAAATGCATGTGGCTGGATAATTCACAACCTAAAATTAGCCTCTTGACGCGGCGTAGCCTCAGCATGTTCCCTGGTGTTTCTGGCTCTTCTGGGAAGCATCAAAGGAAGGCAGCACACATGTGTCATGTACAACGTATCCACCCCTAGTACCTCCTGTATTGATGACTTTGCTATGGGACACCCGCTGGAGGGATCGAACAACAAGCTTCCTCGGTCCCCGGAAATGGGAGGTGCGCGATTTTAATCCAGCGTGATCAAACCTATCGCGAGTATCCTCCAATTCCATTCCATTGATTTGCATCCGAGGGTCCCAGGGTTTTATTGGAACGGCTGCGTCTGCCACACATTGGCACCCTCAAATTGGCAGCTTATCTCAAAATAAGGACTGCCATCATGGACTTGGAATCGCCCGTGATAGAAAGACCAGTACAAAGGCGAGGACAAATCCCTGTTGATCATAGAGAACCAAAAATGACCCACTACGCAGTTTCGCATATCATGATTTGTTCTTTTGTTTTTTAGCTGTTGCTTTCTCCCCGAAGACTCATGAACACTAAACTTGATTGAGACGTCCAAAACAGTCAGGAGCCTTGTTTTGGTCCGGATAAGCATCCGTTGGGACGCTGGCTCGAAGAAGGGAATTCAGAACGGAGCTGAGGAGAACGGTGTCTGGGCAAATTGTATACAAAGGAGTTGGTGTTTGACTGATCTCACCCGTAAAGAAGGTTTCTGACCTCCAGATTCCTGACTTCAGGTATGAATTATGTCAATTTGCCCTCTCACCACTTTGTTTGGAAGGTGATTGGCGCCTTGAGTTCCATTTGCCAGTGGTCAGGGGAATTAATTCACTCTCCCGATGTAGTGGGTGTATGCTTGTTGGGCGGAACTCATTGCCAGAAACTAGCAGTTCAGCCTTGCATAATCAACTCAAGTGAGTAGGATACATGAGGGCAGAATGAATCATAGCCTTGAGGATTGCTGTATGTGTGTTCACGTGTTGTTTTGTTGCTTGCATTGGCCATTCGTGGCTGACCAACACATTCCACAGCTGAATTCAAGCTGCACGGCACATGGCTGATCTGAAGGCAGGGCCAGAGGATTGCTAGTAAACTTCATGTAGAGGACGTCCTTGGACCGTTGCACGCGTTCAGAATGGTTTATCGTGTGGTGCTGCTTCATGACGGATTACGAGAAAGTCGTTTTGCCGCTCTTTGGTCGCCCTTGCGAAAAAGCCAATGCATTCTCCTTTGTAGCCGGGGGTCAATTCAACTCAAATTCACTGCCAGAGTTGGAGCTGTTGGCAAAGCGGCCTTGGAGGCCCCGGCCGGGTTCAAGGCTCTTGGGACCTCAGAAAGAAGGGCTCAAAACCTTTCCTTGGGAATTCCGGGTACAGGGCGGCCTACAAAGCAGACCCTCAAGGTCCCAGCGAAACCGTAGGGTTTCTGGATGCATGGCACACAAATGTCGAATGTGTTGCTTTTCTGAAAATGATTTGTGTGTGTGTGTGTGTCAACACTGTGTGTATGTGGGAGATATCTCCCTGTCGCCAATGCTTCGCGCCGCGGGTTCAACCCCATGGGCAAAGAATCCATCCTAAATGGGGGCTCCACTGGATTCAGTTGATCTCTATCTATGGAGCATTCCATGTCCTGGAGAGTTGAGCTCAGCCTCACACAATTGTCCTCTACAAGACCTCCAATACATCGCCTTTGCCTTTTCAGCTTTTGGTTTTCCTTCAGGTCCCCTTTCAACCAGCAACATATGGTTTTGCCCGGAAGTCTGGCCCATCACTTTTCCGGCGCCTTAGGGGTCCAACCGGGACAGCACCGGGCCGCCCGGCGTACCTCTTCCAAAGAATCACGCCCGGGGAAAGCGGAGCGCCAGGGCAGTGGCAAGGGCAAGATGTCCAAGAGGCACTGGGTGTTTGTTTTCCAGCGTGGGGGGGGGGGGGGGCAGGCGTCGCGGCGGCATTTCATGGTGTTTACCTTTGAGAATATTGCAAACAGGAGGTTCTCCATTTTCTAGGCACGAACGCACGTGTGGCGCATCCCAAGTGGCCAACTAGAACCCTTTGTCCTGTTGGTTTCCTGTTTGTAACCAGAGCAAACATGGACACCAGACCAAACATTGTCGTCTGGTTTTGATATTTTTCACTCGTATCCCCCTTAAGACTGTTGCTTATTGCGGGCCCCAGGGTGTCCGAGCATAGTAATTAACCCCGTTTGGTGGTTGTTTGCGACGCGTGCCCATTTATGTTTTGTCACAGACAAACACCATTTTGTTGTTGGAAGGACAATGAAAAGGACACCCCGGCATTCTCTGTACTGCCATTACCTAGGTGCTAAGTTGCCCGAAGTGTTCCTATTAACCAGAGGATTTTTCCAGATCCACTCCTTAGTTTTTTTTGGGCGCTTTCCCTCTGCCAACACACGAGGCGGCCTTTTGCCGGACACTGGCTCATAGCGTGCCCATCGGGCCAGCACGCCGGGCGCCGGCAGGGTTGGGTTGTTGGTTTGGGTACCCGTTTCAGGTCGATAAGGCAAACCAAACAGACAACCACCCCCTGTTCTGACCCCCAGTAACCTTCAGTTCTACCAGGGTTGTGAAAGTTTCCTAGAACTTCTGCAACCCCCATACAGCCTTTCAATAGAACCCCTTCTTAATGGGGTGTAGGTCAAAACATACTTTGTCTCACTTCCTGACTTCTTAGCGGGATCCCTTATTTCGAGCCGGCAGTATAATCCATGATGAGATTATATGTCGGCAGTTACTTGCAATCCCATGCTACAACATTGAAACATTCGGTTTTAGGTGCCTTGTTCCGATTTGGAACTATATATCCATTCATTGGAGTCAGACCCAAAGAACATCTCAGCCCCACTGTCCGGATCCGTTCTCCGCCAGCTTTGGAGATTGCATTTTGCTTTCCAATAAGAAAGGGGTCCAGAGGCAACCCACATCTCCCGGAGTTTCGTAGGGAATGGTGTGCGTACAGGTAGAGCCCCCAACCCAAAAAAGAACAGAACCCCCACTTCAAGCTTGAAAGCCTTTCCCTTGCTTTTTCCTCTCTTTTTTTTCTGGCGCCGAAACCCCCGTTCCAAGTCGCAGAACCCGCCTCGATCGATCGTGCCATGAGCCGTTCGCTGGTGGAGCGCTCCAACTCCAACCGGGTGCCCCGGGGGCGCTCGGACGTGCTGAAGCGGCTGGGCACCCTCTCCATCGAGGCCAGTCGAGGGGGTCACGGGGGAGGGAGGGAGGGAGGGGTGGAGGGGTGGAGCCAGTGGTTTTGCCTCAGCCATGGAGCGGACCTCCCGTTTTTGTTTCTCCATTCTTCCTTTGGGAGGGTCCTTGTCGTTCAGGTTGGGACTTGTTGCCCCCTCTTCGGCCGAACATGGGAGATGTCAAAAGGCAACGTTGATTCGTTGGGCGACACCGCTCTTCCTAGGAGAATCCCGTCAAGCAACGGTGTCCTGTCCTTTGGCTGAGGTTTGGGAACATTGGATAGCCTTCACCAACGAGTTTAAGAAACCAAGGGAACCATGGGGTCAGAGGACAGAAAAGCCTTTCTTTTTCTGTTCCCCATGTACCAGTTCAGAAAAGGCAAGCAGGGCGCACAGTTTGGGTTCTCAGAAATTGTCTAGGGGTAGGTAGGCAGGCCGATGCGGTGCATGCGGCCTTGTTTTTGAGACCTCGGTTTGTAGAAACTGCGCGCCCGGCCTTCACGGCGGCTTTTATACACAAAATGACATATGTATATATACATATATATATATATATATATATGTGGTCCCCCCCATGGATCTACCTTCCTTCAGAATTCACTGGTATGTGCAAAGGTTTTTGCCTTTTTGGGGCTTTGGGGAAAGCAGCAAAAAAGGCGCATTTCCAAGACAATCTGAAAGCTTTAGGCCAAACTGTTCCAGGGAATCTTGAATCCAGTCGGTTTGGATCTACCTTTGTCCTATTTCTATGCTGAGGTTTGGTCAGAGATGCAAAACAACAGCTATGTTGGAGCCAGTGGCCCAAAAGTGAAATCATAAAGACGTAAACGTATGGAGCCAATGACCCAAAAGGAAAAAAACACATCCGAAGCCAATGACCCAACAGTAAAAAAAAGTAATAACAGAGAACAAACTGAGAACAAACTGGTAAACATGTACACAAATTCAGTCCATGGTCAAAGCGTTTTACTTCAGAACCATGGGCTGATGTGTTTTACTTCTTTTATTGTTCTTCTTCTTTTTTTGCTTGTGGGTCAGTGGCTCCAGATTTTCTTTGCGTTTTTACTTTTGGGTCTCTGGCTCTAGAAGTTCACTTTTTTGCTTTTGGGTCATTGTCTCCATAGTTTCTTTTGTTTTTCTTTTTTTTACTTTTTACTTTTGGGTCATTGGCTGCAGAGCTTTATCCTTTTACTTTTGGGCTGTTGGCTCCATTTCTTTTACGTTTAGTCTTTTTGGCTTCAAATAGCTGCTGTTTTGCATCTTCTGACCAAACCTCAGCTTTGCATGGACAAGTTTAGGGTGTAGGGTGTGGGGTTTATTGACGCACGTTTATAGGAATCGGACTTATTCTCGTAGATGTTTGTTCAATGAGTTTCATTGGAAACATGTCTTTTTGATCAATAAACTCACTCTTCTTTTTTGTTGTTGCTTAGTCTTTGTTTCTTGGAATTCAAAGTACTTAACAAGGATTAAAAATCAAACCATCAATTAGAAGTCTTGTCTCAAAATAGAATTGACAGCTGATTTTAAAGAATCTTTTTCTACTATTGTGTTTGTTTAATTTTCTCATTATAATTGAATTGGAGCTCAATAAGCAACACATCCTTGTAGAGTTTCTAGTTTAAAGAGAATTTACATAGGATTTCCTTGTCGAACAAGATGCGTAATCAAAATGACCATTTGAAACTAGATGTTCAAACCCGGTTGATTTGTTTAGAATTTGGCAAGGACATAAGTCTAATAGAATGTCTAGTTTTAAAGAGAACTTGCATAGGTGTTTTAAAAGACGGTTTTTCATAATTGGAAGTCGAATTTCAAATTAGATGTTCAAAAGGACGTTTTTTGGACGATGTGTTCAATCTTCTAATTCGAACTTAGATAGAAATTAAATGTGAACAACGCCAAATATAATTTCTAGACTTGAATAATATTTCCCCAAACAGTTTACTGTGAGGGGTTCTAAATTCATTTAAGGTGGCTCGCCTGTTGCCAAGCCCTAGCCTGGATGCCTGGCACAGCTCTCTGGGTGGACGGGTTCATTTGTCTCCCTGTGTCTCCCTTCATTTGTCTCCCGTTGTCTCCCCGCCTGGATGCCTGGCACGGCTCTCTGGGTGGACGCGTTCGTTTGTCTCCCTGGGTTCACTTGTCTCCCTTTGTCTCCCTTCATTTGTCTCCCGTTGTCTCCCAGCCTGGATGATCCAGTCTGGGTGGACGGGTTCATTTGTCTCCCTTTGTCATTTGTCTCCCGTTGTCTCCCAGCCTGGATGCCTGGCACGGCTCTCTGGGTGGACGGGTTCATTTGTCTCCCTTTGTCTCCCTTCATTTGTCTCCCAGCCTGGATGCCTGGCGCGGCTCGGGTTCATTTGTCTCCCTTTGTCTCCCTTCATTTGTCTCCCGTTGTCTCCCAGCCTGGATGCCTGGGTGGACAGATTCACTTGTCTCCCTTTGTCTCCCTTCATTTGTCGCCCGTTGTCTCCCAGCCTGGATCTGGCACGGCTCTCTGGGTGGACGGGTTCATGTGTCTCCCTTTGTCCCCTTCATTTGTCTCCCGTTCTCTCCCAGCCTGGATGCCTGGCACGGCTCTCTGGGTGGACGGGTTCATTTGTCTCCCTTTGTCTCCCTTGATTTCTCCCGTTGTCTCCCAGCCTGGATGCCTGGCACGGCTCTCTGGGTGGACGGGTTCATTTGTCTCCCTTTGTCTCCCTTCATTTGTCTCCCGTTGTCTCCCAGCCTGGATGCCTGGCGCGGCTCTCTGGGTGGACGGGTTCATTTGTCTACCTTTGTCTCCCAGGATGTCTGGCACCCCTTTGTTTCCCTTCATTTGTCTCCCGTTGTCTCCCAGCCTGGATGCCTGGCACTGTTTTTTTGGTGGACAGATTCACTTTTCTCCCTTTGTCTCCCTTCATTTGGCTCCTGTTGTCTCCCAGCCTGGATGTCTGTCACGGCTCTCCAGGCGGACGGATTCACTTGTCTCCCTTGGTTCCCCTTCATTTGTCTCCCATCTCTGTGGGTGGACGGATTCATTTGTTTCCCTTTGTCTCCCTTTATTTGTCTCCCGTTGTCTCCCAGCCTGGATGCCTGGCACGGCTCTCTGGGTGGACGGATTCATTTGTCTCCCGTTGTCTCCCAGCCTGGATGTGTGGCACTCACGCTCCGCGTTTCCTTCACTTCCCGCGGTTCTGTCCTTTTGGCGGGGTCTTGGTTTGCCTTCGGCTTTGGCCCTGGCTTCGGTCATTCCTTGTCTTGTGGATGTTGGGGACAGGGTCCTCCTCTGTCTGCCCTTCATCTGGGACTTCGATTTCGCTTGGGCTCGTGGTGGGTCGTCTTCCTTGTCTATCGTTGGCTACACCTGTCTGTTCGTTCAGTACCTCGTTATCAGTTGCGGTCCCGAGCTGACGATAGCGGTGCGCTGCGGTGCGCGGCTTCAGCTACGAGAAGGCTCTGTTAACCCCCCGGTGAAACAAACGTGAATCACGCTGGAGTTAAATCCTCTATCGATTCTTCGAGGATGTTCAACGAACCTTACGCTGAGATACCCAGTGGTGCTCTTGGCACCTGGGGTTGTCCCGGCTCTCCCGGCGGACGGGTTCATTTGTCTCCGTCTCCCTCCATTTGCCTGACGGATTCATTTGTCTCCCTTTGTCTCCCTTTATTTGGCCCCGGTTGTCTCCCAGCCTGGACGCCTGTCACGGCTCTCTGGGGTGGAGGGGTTCATTTGTCTCCCTTTGTCTCCCTTCATTTGTCTCCCGTTGTCTCCCAGCCTGGATGCCTGGCACGGCTCTCTGGGTGGACGGGTTCATTTGTCACCCTTTGTCTCCCTTCATTTGTCTCCCGTTGCCTCCCAGCCTGGATGCCTGGCACGGCTCTCTGGGTGGACGGGTTCATTTGTCTCCCTTTGTCTCCCTTCATTTGTCTGGCACGGCTCTCTGGGCTTTGTTAGCCTGGATGTCTGGCACGGCTCTCCAGGCGGACAAATTCACTTGTCTCCCTTTGTCTCCCTTCATTTGTCTCCCGTTGTCTCCCAGCCTGGATGCCTGGCACGGCTCTTTGAATGGACAGTTTCACTTGTCTCCCTTTGTCTGCCTTCATTTGGCTCCCCTTGTCTCCCAGCCTGGATGTCTGTCACGGCTCCCCAGGCGGACGGATTCACTTGTCTCCCTTGGTTCCCCTTCATTTGTCTCCCATCTCTGTGGGTGGACGGATTGATTTGTCTCCCTTTGTCTCCCTTTATTTGTCTCCCGTTGTCTCCCAGCCTGGATGCCTCTCTGGGTGGACGGATTCATTTGTCTCCCTTTGTCTCCCTTTGTTTGTCTCCCGTTGTCTCCCAGCCTGGATGCCCCTCTGGGTGGACGGATTCATTTGTCTCCCGTTGTCTCCCAGCCTGGATGTGTGGCACTCACGCTCCGCGGTTTCCTTCACTTCCCGCGGTTCTGTCCTTTTGGCGGGGTCTGGTTTGCCTTCGGCTTCGGCCCTGGCTTCGGTCATTCCTTGTCTTGTGGATGTTGGGGACAGGGTCCTCTGTCTGCCCTTCATCTGGACTTCGATTTTGCTTGGGCTCGTGGTGGGTCGTCTTCCTTGTCTATCGTTGGCTACACCCTGTCTGTTCGTTCAGTGCCTCGTTATCAGTTGCGGCCTCTCTCTGTCCTTGCTCGCATTTGGAGTCCCGAGCTGACGAGAGCGGTGCGCTGCGGTGCACGGCTTCAGCTACGAGAAGGCTCTGTTAACCCCCCGGTGAAACAAACGTGAATCACGCTGGAGTTAAATCGTCTATCGATTCTTTGATGATGTTCAACGAACCTACGCCGAGATACCCAGTGGTGCTCTTGGCACCTGGGGTTGTCCCGGCTCTCCCGGCGGACGGGTTCCTCTCCCTTCATTTGCCTGACAGATTCATTTGTCTCCCTTTGTCTCCCTTTATTTGGCCCCGGTTGTCTCCCAGCCTGGATGCCTGTCACGGCTCTCTGGGTGGACGGATTCGTTTGTCTCCCAGCTTGGATGTCTGG